ACTAATACTAATACTAATACTAATACTAATACTAATACTAATACTAATACTAATACTAATTCTGATACAAATACTAATACTAATTAAAATAGATAAGAAAAGATCAATACATACAAAATTGATCAGAAATAAAACTAATCAGTGATATTATTTGATCGTTGAAGTCCTAGTTTGGTAGACAAGTAGACTAAGTAACAAAAGGTAGAATTCCATTGACAATTGTTGGTTAGATATTAAAGGTTGAAGGCATTGATGAATAGATGAATTCTATTGTCTGTAAAACTCAATTCATGGATAAATTCATAGAGAAGAATCAGAGATAATAGTGTAGGAAGATTAAATTAAGGCTAGAATATTGTGTACACTGGAGTACATGACCATCCAAAGTTAAGATTTCTATCAGTAGGAAAATTTAAGGATTTTTTGGAAATAGACAAAATTTATAGCTTTTCCTTTTAATGTTAAAAGTTAGAATGTTTGTTTAGAAATTGTAAAACTGAACCCCTGTATGGGTATTATATGCAACAAGTGGTGGTTAGATGGCAGTCGAAAACCTTTTGTAGGAATATAGCATGTCGTGCCGGTACGATTATATGTCTACTCAGGCCAGCCCGTGAAAGCTGACTATCAGTCTGTTTATATCTAGTCTGTGAGTAGAATAGAGATAAATATATTCACCTCCCAACTCACCAAATCTTGGAAATTTGATCGCTAACAGTAAATATAAATTTATAGTTCTGTGTAAAAGAAAAATAAAAAAAATATTTCAAAACATTTAGAGAGTCATGATTAAAATTGTTACATTTGCCTCCACTGGGTAACATATATATTATATAATATGTGGCATATTCCATAAACAGAAGTTAACTTTCTGTTCAGTCCATGGGCACCTTTTGAAATTCCCCGGGCAACGCCGGGTACCTCAGCAAGTCTCTAAAACTCTCTATGACCATTATACTGAATTGTATGGAAGAACTGAAGTAAATGATTTTGATGATTGAAGTTAATGATAACACACACACACTTCAGATCTCAACAATCTGGGATATCTTAACACCCTAAAACATACACGCTTAGTAGGATACTACAGGGTGTCCCTGAAAACATGAAAAGAGACAACTTTTAAATATAGTCTTTGCATTGAAAAGGCTACTCGAATTAAAATTCTTCAAAAGAACTTTTCCGCAAAACACTTTTGAATAAATGTCCAAATATTCTTATTTTGATTGATTTTTCCTCTATATTTTTTCAAAAATCTGTGAAAATATTCTTAGAAATCCGCGATTTTCTCTTTTAAGAAGATACACGCAAGTAACAGAATCGTTTACATTTTATAATGGTCTCTGGGTTGAGGGTAGGTGGGTTGTTGAATTTAGAACCTCAGTTTCTGAGTAACAATAAACCAACTCTGAATCATAATTCTCATGTTTAATTCTAGTTCTCAAAACCTAGTGACCCCTTCAGTGAAATATTACCATTACCAACCCCCCTACCCCGACCCCACCTTTTTTTATTTCCTTTTACTTTCATTTCAACCCCCCTTCCCTGCTTTTCTACCCTGTTAATTAACTATTTCAACCATCTCTCACATTCTATGTTAATGAAATCCTTTATTTCAACCATCCCTCCCATTCTATGTTAATGAAATCCTTTTTTTCAACCATCCCTCCCATTCTATGTTAATGAAATCCTTTATTTCAACCATCCCTCCCATTCTATGTTAATGAAATCCTTTATTTCAACCATCCCTCCCATTCTATGTTAATGAAATCCTTTATTTCAACCATTCCTCCCATTCTATGTTAATGAAATCCTTTATTTCAACCATCCCTCCCATTCTATGTTAATGAAATCCTTTATTTCAACCATCCCTCCAATTCTATGTTAATGAAATCCTTTATTTCAACCATTCCTCCCATTCTATATTAATGAAATCCTTTATTTCAACCATCCCTCCCATGCTATGTTAATGAAATCCTTTATAACAACCATCCCTCCCATTCTATATCAATGAAATCCTTTATTTCAACCATCTCTCCCATTCTATATCAATGAAATCCTTTATTTCAACCATCCCTCCCATTCTATGTTAATGAAAACCTTTATTTCAACCATCTCTCCCCTTCTATGTTAATGAAATCCTTTATTTCAACCATCCCTCCCATTCTATGTTACTGAAATCCTTTATTTCAACCATCTCTCCCATTCTATGTTAATGAAATCCTTTAATTCAACCATCCCTCCCATTTTATGTTAATGAAATCCTTTATTTAATCATCTCTCCCATTCTATGTTAATAAAATCCTTCCCCTTCAATGTTCTTATCTATGTCAATTGACTTCTATTCCCCCCATTCACTCCTCCAGCACCCTTCCATTCTATATTTTATACGTTCACGGGGGTCTGAGGGTAGACACCTCCACTATTTCTAGTTATGAAATATGTCTAGATATTGCGGTTCAAATTCATTTGATTGATCAATTCTGTCGTAAGGTATTAGGCTAATGGCCTCGAAGCCTAATCTCAAAATTTCAAATAATGCTTTTGATGGTTTTAATCAAAATGTTGTCCTAAGAATTTTAAGTACTATTTTCATTTTTTTCGGGTTTAGACATATTCCACTTGCAGAAAAACATATTCAAAAATTAAAATCGAGTCATTTTGCAGTTTTACTTTTATAAATGTAATTCTACATTTTATTGCATTTAAATATTGCGTTTTTCATTAAATTTTCTCATAAATAAGTTGTCAAATCTATAACCCCCCACTCCCACCTACTCTAATTGTTTTGGCATATGTATATAAGGCTTAAATACGCCCATTATTATCTAGATATAAGACACGCCTATCCTTTTATATAAGCTCACATTCTGTTCATTCTAAATATACAACTTTTTACTTTTAAATATTTGTATTTAGTTTCAGAAAAAGGATTTTTTTTTTACATTTATCAGCAAATTATTCAGTTTTTTATCCAAATTTTTCATCTTCATTTTAGTTTAAAAATTCTAAGTTACTGCAAACTATTAAAATTATATCAATATTATATCAAATATATTAGACATCAGTTCTCCGACTTTGTGAGCTCGTAGCTCATCTAGCTTTGGTTTTCCGCACAATTACAAGTATGAGCAAAACAAACATATTTCAAAACAATTTGTTCTTCTCAATTGCTCTTTAAAAATGAGAGTTATGATTTAAAACATGAAAGATTTCAATCTGGCATGCAATATAATTTAGTTTGACGCAAGGAGATATTGAATAGAAGGAGGGGGCGATAGGGTTTCCTTACACTTTGCTGTGACGTTTTTGGACTGTTGAAGAACTAGTTTTTGCGTAACAACAATAATAAAGATTGTAAACAATAACTCAAATAATAAACAGACGGCAGGATAACCTTGAATTTGATTAAAAATGTCTGTGTAATTAGGTCCTTTTCGTATAAAACTAAAATCCTTAACTTTTTAAATCTTTATTAACAAGATGTACTACTACTTTAACAGTTTACTAACCAATGAGGTTATAGTATATAGAGTGATGATGTACGCTAATCCTTCACTAATTTCATAGGTCATAAACAATACCGAGAGCGTACTGCATATTTGTTTATTATAAGTTTATTCTGGCCTAACCTTTGGTATAACAATATTAGTAAACAGTTGTAAGTGTACGGTACAGCTAACTGAGCACACAGGTAGAGAACTATCATCCCCCCTGTTACTAACTCATGTTTGTTTACATTAGATCGGTTGCCTTTGTTATTGTTGTTACGCAAAAACTAGTTCTTCAGCAGTCCAAAAACGTCACAGAAAAGTGTACGGAAACCCTATCGCCCCCTCCTTCTATTCAATATCTCCTTGGTTTGACGTGTACTTTTTTCATTTCATCCTTAATAACCTGATCGTTTTGTAAATTGTTTTTTTTTTGTTTAAAAAAACATTATTTTATGTATTTTTATGTTTTTACATGTTTTGATGTTTTTTATTGCTGTCAGCTATTTTTAATCGCCAATGGCTGACACCGTGTTAAAGATAGCTAAAATATCTCCTGTTAACACCATCAACAAAATTTAGATTGTTAACAAACGGAAACTTTGGTAATGTGAAAAATTACATTAACAAACGGAACGGTCAGTTCTCGGCTAAAAAATGACCAGCTACCAGAAAAGTTTTATTTTAATGAGTTTAACCGAATTAACGAACGTATGAATTGAAAAAAGTGATAACATGCCCAGCCCTAGACCTGAACTGTGTTTGAGAGATGGGGGGGGGGGGTACAGAAAAGAGATTAGAATAGAAAAGAAATTCAATTAAAACCATCCCTTAGTATGAATGTTGTCAGTCCCTTTGAGCCTGAAAGTGAGTTCAAAGTATAAAAAGAACACAGTACAACAAAATGGCCATTTTACACTTTTTTGAGTTAGTTACACTCTTAACTAATAGTCTCTTTGAGTTAATTCCACTCTATACTAATATATTCTCTTTGAGTTAATTCCACTCTATACTGATATATTCTCTTTGAGTTAATTCCACTCTATACTGATATATTCTCTTTGAGTTAATTCCATTCTATACTAATATATTCTTTTTAATTTATACCACTTTATACTAATATAAACTCTTTGAGGCAATTCCACTCTACACTAATAAATTCTCTTTGAATAAATTCCACTCCATGCTAATATATTCTCTTTAATTTAATTCCATTTTATACTAATATATACACTTTGAGGTAATTACACTCTATACTAATAAATTCTCTATGAGTTAATTCCAATCTATTCTAATATATTCGCTTTGAGTTAATTCGACTCTTTACTAATATATTCTCTTTGAGTTAATTCCACTCTTTACTGATATATTCTCTTTGAGCTAATTTCATTCTTTACTAATATATTCTGTTTAAGTTAATTCCATTCTATACTAATATATTCACTTTGATTTAATTCCACTCCATACTAATATATTCTTTTTGAGTTAATTCCACTCTATACTAATATGTTCTCTTTGAGTTAATTCCACTCTGTACTAATATATTCTCTTTGAGCGTAGATTTCAAATGACCTTCCACTTAAAGAGGTAAAGAGAAGGGAGGTGTTATAGAAGGGAGGTGTTATAGAAGGGGTATTGGGAGAAGGGAGGTGTTTTATTGCTGTC